ATATAGTAAATTTACAGGTGTTTCGACTATAGCGTATCCAGGATCGGCTGTCACAGCAAATTCGTAGATCGTGTGTGCAGGCGTGTCTCCGTCAAAGGCTCCCGACGTAATGTTAGCATCAAAGTGTATGGTTGATACTTTTATTATGTTTACAGGTAAATCAGAAGAATGCTTTTGACCAGGATTAAGAACTTTTTTCGAGAATCCCAATAGATGTCCAAGATTATTCGGTTCTGTAAAAACTATTTTATAATACTTGCTAAAGATTTCACATTGCAGTGTATTATTGTTAGGTTTTAGAGAAAAATAATCATCCGAGGAGCAACTTCATTTTCAAGATTCATTTGCGTTCGTATAAATGTTTCTATGTCGGTAATTTCATAACAACCTGTCGGAAACTCGATGACTTTTAATTGACCACCACCACCTATCCGGTCGATATATAAAATTTATCTCCTTTTTCAATATTCGGTATGGAATTGTATGAAGTAAAAGACCTAAGCGCCAATTCATAATCTTTTTTCGGATCCAACACTATCGGTGTTGAAGGACGAAATGAAAATATATGAGTAGTGCTATTGACTCTCAACAACTGCGACATGATGAATGAAAAAATATAGCTGTGTACTAAGCATTTATTCAAGTTTTTTTTTTTGTTTTATTTTCGAATGGATAATTTACAGAAATAACAATTTGCTTGAGCAGTAGCCGGTCCATCCCAATGTGTTGTCCAATCAGGTCTGTTGTAGTGAACATAGCATGGAAGTCGTATTTGAAGATCAAAATTGGATGTGTATTCTGCAGGCAGTTTGTGCCATATACTCAATAATTCTGCAGGTCTCACATTGCTTATTAAATATTCCAGCGGCGGAATATTCTTCTCAAACTCTTCTAATGTAAATTCCGATAATGTTTTATTATCCATCGTTGTTGTTGTTGTTATTGTTTAGAAATTTCAAACACAATTGTCCGCAATTAACTTGATTATAAGTTTGGTAAGGATCGTTGTTGTAGAAAATTTTAGCGTTTTTCAGATATCGAACAAGTTCCGTGGAGGCTTCAGGTTACCAAATGAATCGAAATACTCAACGTTGTTGTTTATCTTTTTATAAGCTACCCAATGAGTTCCGTTGTTTTGTGAAATATCTAAGTTCACGACGGCGCATTCTCTTTTACGTGGACCGTCTCGTGGTAAAGTGTCACGCATGAAGACACCTCGGAAATGAGGTATGTTCAAGAGCTTCGCATATTGCTTATTTCATAATCATAAAGCGCTTTCTTGGGTAGCTTGATGTTTAGTTTTTTTTGAGTTTTTTTTTTGAGGTACAACCCATAACCACCTTTAGCATTTTTTCTCAAATACAATCCTTTGCCCAAAGACTCCATAGCTTTGTTATGGCGATGGTCTTCCTCCAATTTCTTTTGTGCATTCTTGGCATCAACGACCGTTTTGCCACACCTGCAGCTCCCCTGCGAGCGCCCCCAAGGCACTTAATCCGGCGAAAAGGGGGATCAAGGGTAGGAATCCCCCAGATTTTCCTTCGATCGGAATTATTCTCGGTAGTCGAAACTGTATGTTTTCCACCTGCACTCTTCACCGCTAATCTTGCCGCTTTAAGAGCAACCAATGCAGACTTTTTTAATGTCGTGGTGGTGGGAGCATTTTTCTTCAAGGACTTTGTGATTTTCGTGAGAACACCTCGTCGAAAAGATGATTTCTTCTGCCCCATACCCAATTTTCGCTTAACTTTCATTGCGGTGGTTGTTAGCCAAGCTGCAGTCTTTTCTCCTAGTGAAGCGTCAGGTGCTTTTACACGTTCCCAGGCTCGGTTCTCAAGAATCCAATCAGCTTTGTGCCTGTCTTTCAAATTTTTGTATAAGGCGTATGCAATATCGTGGTCTCTTGCAGCACGATCCAATGGGTTTCTTTCCAGGATCTCCTCGTGCTAACCTCTTCTTTAATTTAGTCCCCGCTGAAAATATACATATACATGTGTGAGAATGAAAAAAAAAATATCCTAATCTGTCGCACACTTACGTCCCAGGAACTGATACGAAGGTACGTGGAGTTCTATCGGAAGATTATTTATCAGAGAGTTTACAACACCTTCACCCTTGTACGTTAACATGAGAACTGTTGATGATGCGTTAGCAATATCTACATATATACTTTTACACATTCCTTATTCGAACGCCACACGATGAAGGTTGTTCAACAAGAGCAGTCATTACCCATTGATAACTTGGATTTTACAGCAAAAACTCAACATAGTAAACATGGTAAATTGTTACCGAATTCGTTTCGCGCTATCATCTCGGACCAAGCGGATGTGGAAAAACGAACGTAATGCTGGCGCTGCTTTTCCATCCAAACGGTGCTAAGTTTAAAAATGTTTACGTTTATTCAAAATCGTTGTATCAACCAAAGTATCAACTGCTTCAAGAAGTGATTTCCGCTGCTAAGGGTGTTGGCTATTTCCCATTTAAGGATAACGAGGAAATTATAAGTCCAAGTAAGGCTAAAAATAGCTCTATATTTATATTTGACGACGTGTCGTGTGACGGTCAGCAGAAATTCGAGAGTATTACTCCATGTGTCGTCATAAAGATATCGATGCTGCATATCTCTGCCAAACATACTCTAAAATTCCAAAACAGCTCATACGAGACAACTGTAACATTATAGTACTATTTAAGCAGGATGAAATTAATCTAAAACATATATTTGATGAGCATGTATCTCCAGATGTTACTTTTGATGAATTCAAAAAGATGTGTTCGGAATGTTGGGCAGAAAAGTACGGTACGTTAGTTATTGTTAAAGACTTTCCTCTTAATTATGGTCGATACAGAGTAGGATTTGATAAGTACATAAAATTGTAGGCTTATCATGTACGCCATCATTCAGTAACATGATGTCAAAGGACCAAGTTGCCGTTGCTAGTCATAAAAGAAAGATCGCAGAACTTGCTCGAGCTATACGTAAAAAGTATCTTACTTTAAAGTTAGGTCGAACTGCAGAAGATGAATCTATTAGAAAACTTTTCAAACCAATATCTGAACCTCTTAAGCAAATAGCTAAGACTCAGCAGCATCCTTCATTTATTATTAAAAAAGAGGAAAAATTGAAACAGGATGATGATGATGATGATGATGTATTCACACAGAACCCAAACTATCTCAATTTAGAAGACGTGGCTTCAACTGATGAACAAGGTAATATACCGCCGAGACCTGAAACACCACCACCACTACCTGAAGAAATGCGTCCTGCTGATTTTTCACAAGAAGCAATAGAAGAATACTTAGATCAATATCCCCCAATAAGCCATAATTATTTACAAGATTCTTGGACACAAAACGATAAAATTGATAAAAATTATGGACCTATATATACCGACAACATTGGTTGGATGTTAGGTAAACGCCGAATTAAATTTGATAGAGCGACTGGCCAAATACAGATATTACCTGAGGGGACAAACTTAGCAGGTACATGGTTTCGTGGCACACCTGGGCTGTATCAACTTTTATTCTATAATGACCCAAACTATGCAGATGCAGATTTACAACCCTATAAAAATCTATTGCAAAGTACCGGTGTTCATTTAGATTCGCTTGGACGCCTAAAAGGTTCGACAGGATTTAAATATAATCACATTATTAAGCCTCTCTTTAAAGATGTGCAGAAAAATAAAGGTACAATTGTCACACGATCAACATCTACAAAAATACGTAGTCCACTTAGTCGATCATTAACAAGATCCACTCCCTCAACAACAACAACAACAACATCATCAACATCAAAACCGCCAACAGGAAAAGGTATCGGTGATTACTTGACATACAACGAGGAACCAATCGAATACGTGTACTGGGATGATCCCAATGAATTAATCGATCGACTTAAACTCCTTATGGCATCTCAGGAAGCTGGCAATACGTCGCATGATAATGAAATAGTAGCCATCCTCAACGAGCTAAAAGAAGCTAATATAATACAGTAATCTAGTTCCTTGGTCTTTCATTTACACGATGAGTCTTGATAAATTCGGACGTCGCTTTGATAAACAAAAGACACTTCCGTATATGCGTACACCGCCAAAGTTAACACTACCCCATACTTCTGATGGAAATGTTGACTTCAAGAACGTAAAGTTGTGTAATATAAAAGATCCCACAGATAATTCAGATGCGGCAACTAAAAAATACGTAGATACTTCAGTGATTGATTTAAAAAAATAACAGCAAAAACAGATCAAATAACAGAGTTTATTTCGAGAAATCCGCCTACTTCTGGTAAACATATGGCAACAAAAAAATATGTAGATGACTCTATTGCAAATATAACAACAAGAATAGAACAGGAGTTGGCTACAATTAAGTCTCATACCGATTTGACTCCAATACGGAAAAATATCATTGAATGAATTACAACTTTTGCAAGGACGCACATCATATATATCATTGAAAACATTCGATCTTGCTAAGCGTATAAAG